AATTAAAATACAACCCTTCCAGGATACAGCAAGACATCAGAGATTCATTGTGTCTTAATCATGGTAGATATAATAATCAACAAAATGTCAAGGGACGTTCTTCTGAGGTCTTCTCAGTTTGGTTACAAAGCTGCTGTACATTACACAAGCTCATCAATTTATTTTTCCAAACCAAACTTCATGGTTATATAGACAGCAATTAAAACTAGATTCTTTGTGGACAAAATCGGTTAATGGACAGACGAGACAGGACAAGACCAAAACCAAGAAATGCAATAATTATTATGATATCATTATGCATACAGTCTTTTCCAAATAAACTTCCTTCTTCACAGAAAACAACTTTGTTCGGGTTTAGGCAACAGCACCACTTGGTTGAGTTTAGGAAAATATCATTTCGTTTTAGACAACAAAATATACTTTATGTCACAGCTCTGCCCCTTCTCTCCTGTCACTCTATCGCTCACTCACCTAATCAGCTCATTCAGTGCACCTGTTAGTCACACCCACCTCATCAGCTCAATCACTCTCACCTGCTCACTCTGCTGCACCTACTATTTAGACCCCAGTCTCACACACACTCACTGCCAGATCGTTCTCCGCTGTATGCCAGACTTTCCCGCGTTTACCCTCCGACTGTTTTCCTGTTGCCGACCCTGCCTGTTTGGACTTCTCCGCCTGGCTTCTGCCCCGATAAACGACTCGGCCTTCTGTCCCCGACCAAGAGATTCTGCCTTTGCTTCCTCTGGTTTCTGTCTGCCTTCTCCCCTGACGGCTTGGCATTCCACTGAGTGGACTTCTACATGTGTGCATATCCAGGACTGTTTGCCTTTTTTATGTTCTGCCTGGAATAAAGTCTCATTCCAATACATACAAATTGATTTTGTATACGAATAAGGGTGCTTTCTTTTCATAGCTATAGCTACGAACAGTGTATGTATGAGAACAGCCTGCATTTTCTGATTAGTCTTTGGTCCTTGACTTTGACATAGATGAAGAGTAAAGCAGTCCATGCTGACTTTGCCTCAGGCAGTGACAACAATGAGATGGAAGGACGAGCTTTTGTGCAAAGTAATGAAAGAATTTGTGCAGTTAAACGTCATGCATTTTCTAGTTGTCACTCTTTTTCAGGTTGCTAACAGTCCAATTAAAGAGATATTTGGTTTTCTGTCTTGCTCATGGACACTGGCAGGATGTGACTATTGATGGACATGGTGAGGATCAAATCTGTGAGCTTCTAAATATGGAACAGGACCTCTAACCACCAACCACATCCTGCCACCTTGTTTTTGAACTAAAATGCTTCCTTAGATCTTCTTATTCTCTGTTCCATTTTTGATGAATCTCAGAGGTTGTGATGAAGAGTTGTAATTTGTCCTTCTTGTTGCCTGTTTCTTCTGCCTGCTTTGCCTCCACTTGATATCTGTTTCTAAATAATACTTGATAGTTATGGCTGACGCACTTCAGAGCAGGTTTCAGAACAAATTGAATACCTGAAATAAAATCAAGGTATTTGCTCAGACTGGTGCAAAACTCCTCCCATCAATTTCTCAAACCTGTCATGTAACCCATAGAATACTAAAGAGATAAATATTACTTCAAGTGGTGCTTAGAGAGGCTCACAAAGTAAACTACTCTCTGATTTCTCTAATTAGGATGCTGTTATGACATACAGCAATGGAATCAGGTGTTGTTGTTTTTGGTTGAAATTAAAACCTGTATACTTTTTAGCGCTTGATTGCACATAATTAAAAAATATATGATGTTCAATGATCATTTTTTTGCAGGTGCAACACCATACGTTTGGGAATATTATCTTCAAATGAAAGGCAGTGTGATTTTCATACAAAAGAAGGATCTCATATTCTCCATCTATTACTTAATCTCCACCCATTCAAATGTAACATGTTTAATAGACAAAACACTACAGTGCAGCAAGGTCATTAATTATTAAGAGCGAGGTTGCATAACATAGAGAGGAGAGCCAGGACTGAAAGTGACCCATTTTGTAGAACCACTGTAAGGATAATTTAGGAACAGGTAATGGTCTGTAGTTTAATGGTGCTGATACCAACTGGTTGTTCACTTGCTGGTTCTTTGCTGGATGATGGATCAGTGAGGAGAGAATAAGTGGGACTGAGTCTCTTCTGAGGCGGCAGCGGGGAACGACTGACCTGCTTTTTAGACTGTTCAGTCTCATCCGCCTTCGTTTCCCGCAGGAAAGCACATATTAAAATCTAGCAGCTCCCGGACACAGAGGCAGGTTAAGTGGATGCTTGTTGACTCCATGATAGGCTATAGGGAAATAGATGGCACCCAATCAGAGAGTAGGCACGTAGGCTCAGGCCAGAAAAGGGCACCGGGAGGAAATGGAACATCTTGCTGGTCGTATAATTAAAACACGCATGCCAGGAGTGAGTTTTTATTATGATGGGAACAGTTAATCTATCGTCTATTTCTTTATTCATTTCCCTGGTGAGAGAAAATATGGATTGCTGGACAGTGAAATGAGACCTGCTTTCATCAGCTTATCTTATTTGTGGTACCATTAGAAATTCGCTGTAATTTTTATACAGAAAAAAGCTTTAATTATAGTTGTAATATTTGAAGAGGTTGTATGGTAGTTTGTTTATATGCAGGGTTTGTATACAGGTTTTAAACAGTGACACTGTTTCTAAACTGGGAAAAATATGTATAAATTACCATCTGTTTTGAAGCAATTCATCATGTTAACAATGTGATAAGAAAGAACCTAATAGTCACATGTGGAGTCGCAGAGTTCTCTGAAATACATCAAAGGGAAACTCTGGATATCAAAAGAAAGTGGAACTGAAATTATTAATCACAGATCAAACATTAGAAAATACCTGCAGGGACGGACGTATTTTAACAAACACCTTGGTGTTTATTAAAATACCTTGAAGTGACGCAAGCCGGGCACATCTCCAGACTCTCTTAGCTCTCTCTTATTGTGACATAAGAATAAATAACAACTCTGTTACATGCCACGATCATAAACTCAAACAAAATAGCCGTCACATAAGGATGTTTTGCAATTTGGCTTCTTTGGCTCAGTGGGTGTGCGACTGGGTTTGCCTTTATGCGACCGGGTTAGCTTGCTTAGCAGCGGCTCTCACTCGTTCTTTGGCTCAGTGGGTGGGTACTCATGAATAAGTTAACTCCTGCACTTCAGTGTCACATTTGTCCTTTTATTGTCTCCCATTGATTTAGTTGCGAGTTGTCGTCTGTGTTTTGTGTTGCCTGTTGTGCACACGGCTAAGGGTTTTTCAAAAACAGTGGTTGTCGGTGCTGCATTGGCTAATGGGTTCGACCAATTACAGTACACTTACGTTACTCGTGGTTCCTCTTTTGCTGGGAGAGCAATGGTGTGTTAATTAGTAAACTCACCTGATATAGTCTCTGGTGGAAAACCTGCAGTCCCTGCTGGCACGAGGGTTTAACAGAGAGAATATGATAATTATGAACAAGTTACTGTTTTAACAAGGGAAATGTCTCTGTCAGTAAAGCACACACATATATTGGTATATATCTTTCTCACATGCTGTTTTCTTTCTCTCGTCTATGACAGTATCCCTTGGAGACGTGTGTGTGTGTGTGTGTGTGTGTGTGTGTGTGTGTGTGAGAGAGATGTCTTTGTCTAGATTTCCCTGCTCATTATCGGAGCAGGTTCAAGGAAATGGGCACTCATTTGCATAGGTAGCTCTGGGGCTGGAGCCCCCATGTGTGGCAGCCAGGTGATTCATACCAGCTCCCACAGTCTTATTTTGCAGAGGATTAAATTAAAACCAATCAATCAGCCTAGAATCACCCTGACCCAGAGGAAAATGAGTCAGTTGACTGACTGGTGTGAGACCATCTAACATGTATTTGCCCTCCCGGAATAGCCCAGAATAGACATATTTGTCACACAGCCATGGCACTATCACAGGTCTATACATTCACTTCAATTTAGAGACGAGACATTTGTGCAGTTCTGAGAACGTTCACGCAGAGAGGGGCCGACCACGAGAGCATAACAATTCCAATAAAGGGAGTTGTATTGCATTGTAGGGTGTGATCTATCTGTAAACATAACTATATGATGTAGAAACCACAGGAGATCCCAAACAAAGAGAAGTGGAACACATTTATCCAGCAGCAACTTTATAGAAATGAAACCTTCAGTCTTTTTACTTTGCAAATATTATTAGAGCAAGTTCAGTATCTGGTAAAGACAATGGAGTCTTGGAGAAACTGCTTCATTAATTAATTCCTGCATTCATGTGTCACTTTGCGGCCGATCATTGCTGAGACCGGGCCGTGCAGCTCACCCAGGCCTCCTCCTGCTGCACTCTGACGGACCATCGAAGAGCTCACGTCTCTGCAATACCTTAAGGACGATACAAAAGCATAAAGCAAAATGATGCACGGTTTATGTCCTCTTTAGAGGAAATATGCTATAATATTCATAAACTCTCCACTTGTTGCACACTCCACAGGAGGGTGCAAGTGTAGGCACATAGATGTGGATGGTAATGCAACTTTAATGGACTCACACGGGTGGGCATTTCCATATTAACGGGCCAAAGAAATGGTGTTAGGTCAGCAAAGTGAAGACATTTCAAAGCTACATATGTCTGATATTTTCTGCTTGTCTGAGATATTCTATCACGTTGTCCGTGTTATTGAGTGTGCGAGTATGAAGCAGTTGACCGAGCAGAATGGCGGGACCTTTCATGTGCACACTCCACGAATTTCTACTTTAATCTGATTAGTTATTTTCATGTGATTGAACACTAGTCGCAGTTTATAATAACTTTCATGTTCGTCTCTTTTTCTTTCCAATCCCAGCACGATGTAATTATGAAAGGTTAACACCTTCATGGTATGAGGGACCTGTAAAAGTTTGTAAAGCTGTGTTGTGCAAACTTGTACAAACTGTGTAACAATGCCTCATGTTATACATCTAATTGTCCACTTTGTCTTTTTTTCCTTCACAGGAGAGGAAGCTGTGTGCATTCCCGACTATTGAGATCTGTAGCCAAGATGTCATCAAATATATGGTTCCACTGTCTCGCCAGACAGACTTCTTTGTTCCAGAGATGAAGGAGGAGGTGAAAACGGATGTTAAAGAAGAGGACTCTGATGAGGACAGGGGAACTGACATTACAGGTAATGTGTACTTTGTTCATACAACCCAGACCTATCTTCACAGCGCTGTGTTCAGCGCTAAAGAAAGGTCTGGCTCCACACATTATCTTTCTGGTATAAGGGGGTATAATATGGCTTGTTTGTATTTCTTTAACCCAATCACATTCGTCTTAGCGGCGCTAAACACAGGATTCAGCGGCGGTGCCCTTGCAAAATAGCGCAGATAGCAAAAGGGGAGCAGAATGTAGCCAATGACAGACTTATACCCACAGTCTACATGTGGTGAGTCTAACTAATTCCAACCAAACACTGTTGTTACTGTTGAGCCCTCATTAGTACTATATATTAATGATTGACTCAAAAAACTTTCCCAATAAAAACAAGTCCAGATACTAAAATAAATGTCTGTTTCACTCAAAGCAAAAACTTCAAAAAGTAAAAAGGTTCATCTCATCACATGGCAGTTGTTTTCTGTCCTTATTTGTTATTTCATCTTATTGCAGCCTGATGAAGCTTGTTGATAGAAACACAGGTTTCTGCTCTATTGAGACTACAGCTTGGAAGAAAACAGAAAATATGTGGCAACTTTTACACAGATGACATGTGATATATGGGACTCTGTCACTGCAAGTATGTGTCTGCAAGCACAATGTCTTCTCTGCCGCTATTACTCTTTCAAACATGCGGGACCTGAAGGCAGTATTGACATTGTCTTTGTACAGATCACTAGAGAAAGAAGATTGTATTGGTTCGATGGGATGGAGTGGGTGAAGGTGGGCTTATTTACATCAGGTGCTGTCATACTGAGTTTAGATTATGTTACATCCCTTGTAAACGCAGTTTAAATGTAGAAGACGTATCCGGAAGAAGGTCTTACATGATCTGTACATGTTCACTGGTCTTCTTCATATTTAGATTGGGGTCGCCATCGAAACACAATGGCGATGCCTGAGACAGGTAAAAACGCTTTCTTCAGACAGCAACAGCACAATTTTCAGCTGTATGCTGTCAGAAGACAATCTGTTGAACTGAGAGTCGAGGCTATTTACAACTATAAAATAGTTTGTCAGCATTGCCAGAATGTGACAAAGTTTTGATTATGGCTTGCTTTTCTAACGAATGAGAAAGTTAAGAAGAACGGACTAAAGTGCTGGATAAAATTTCACTATGATAATTCAGATACAATTAAGTTGATCGTGCATGTTTTTGTAATCTTTTAACGAGGGTGTCTTTCTTCCCCAGTGTGCGCGCACACACACACGCACACACACACACACACACACACACACACACACACACACACACTGCTAGTCCATGTCGATGTGTCTTTGGGCAAGACACTTAACCCCAAATACGCATCTGAATGGGTATGAACGATAGTCCTGATGAGTCCGGATGTGGCACCTTGCATGGTAGCCGCTGTCGTCAGTGTATGAATGGGTGTAAATGGGGGTGAATGTATTGGTAAAGCGCTCTGACAAGTCCATTTACCCATAATTCTCCCTTCAGAATACAAGACGTGAAGCACTTTCTCCATATATTTTGAGATTGTTTTAAACTATGATTTTAAACTATGATTTTGAATTTGGCTATTTAAATAATTGCAAAACTTTTGTTGATCGTCACAAGCTTTTAATCAAAGTGGAGCTTCAGTCAAACACGGCAGTTGTTCAGATGAGATGATGAATTTCATCAAGCTGCAGCACAATGTTTAATGACTTTTATTGGATCCATTTTGCTGGAAAATACAGTGAAGTGAAGCCTAGCAGCTTCTGGAGTTCCAGAAAGGGTATGACATGAGCGTTAACAGCTCTTGCAGAAAAATCCAAGTGTTAGCAGTGGCTAGTCTAACACATGCCATGATGGGGGTGTTTACGAGTGGTTTCTTCTATACATGAAAATATCCCAAATAAGATCATTACCATCCCTTACTAAACAAAGGAATTTAATGTAAATGCAATATACCTAACAATCCAGTATCCAGGGGCGACCGTGGCTCACTGGCTTAAGAGGGTTGTCTGGTAACCGCAGGGTCAACGGTTCGATCCTCGACTGGGATGTGCCACGTGTTGAAGTGTCCCTGAGCAAGACACTGCAGAGGTCAAATTTCGTGTATGTGTATATGACAATAAAAAGGGTTTCTATTCTATTCTATCTATTCTAAACAAATAAAAACTGATTATGATTCCGCCTTTAGCTATACGGGTGTGGTATAGCTAAAGGCGGAACTACAGTAAGTATGCAGAGTTGTCAGACAGAATTAATATCCTGATTAAAAAAAATCACCTGAAAGACAGTTACTATCAACCATCAATAACCTAATGGTGAAACCCAAATTCTTGTTCATCACATGGAATCAAGTAGTGGTAATATTACAGAAGCGGAGCTTTAGATAAAAACAGGCCTTTGGGATCACAATGTAGATGACTGGCTACAAAAAGCATCCTCGTATGCGTTAGGCTCTGTTTAAAGGGGTGTGTAAGTGTAAGGGTGTGTAGTTATGTTCCTTTGCAAACACCCAGGGCCTCTTTATTGTTCACAGGAGCGCTGAGAAGGAGCTATTGTGTTTGGTGGTAGCAGAAACATAAATTGAGTTTCAAGAGTGACTAAATTTCTATTGCAAAGTTTGCTGTAGCCACTTGTGAAATTAGAATGTAAACTTATCTTGTTTGTTTCTTTTCAAAGAAAAGTTGAATGTCTTTAAATCTGAAGAAGCTGTTCTTGTCAGCTCAGGTATTATGTGTTCATACGACAACAAGAAAGCAGATGTGTGGGTGTATGAATGTCTTCCTATTTGTGTGCAGAGTGTCTTTCTATCATGCGTTGGTGTAGTACATGAGGTTTAGGGCTATCTCCGAAATGGAGACTGTGAGTGTGTTTCTGTTCCCAGATACAGCTGAACTTTCTCAATGAGAGACAGAACAATCAGTGGATCTGAGCTTCGTCTGGCAAGCCAGCGGTGGAAATCCTGCTCTGGCACCTCGGAGATTGCCTTCGACTTTTCATCTCTCAACTCCCGTATCCACATTACAGACTGTCTTGACCATAAACTCTGCTGGTGGCCGAACGTTTGTCCTGTTTAACATGTTCTCACAGCACACTGAGAACAAGTAAACACTCAAACAAAATGAGAACACTTTTATGATGATCTGGTGATCACAGTGGAGCCACTGTTTGTGCTGCGAGTTGTTAATCTTTTGAGGACACAAACCAGCCGGAGTGTTAAACGGTATCTTCATCACAGAAAGCCACAGGGGACTTATGGGACCCAGCTAAGGTACAACCTTACTAAATATGGCAGGCTTGTTCAACTAATTTGAAATTGGTATCCTTTTACTTAATGTCTATTTTTTTTTTTTGTAATCTTGGTATAATAACACTTCACCATGTAATAACCTGCTATTAAAGTGTGTGATGATTGTGGGAGGTATCAGATGTGGCTGTGTTTTGATGTTAAATGTGATACAACGAGCCCTAACACCATTCACTAAGAGACATGAAGTGTGTTTCCATCCATGTTTCCTTGCATCAGATATAAAAAGTCTACACTTTAAATTTGGCATTTCAGTGAAAGCAAAATGCAATAAAGTGCAATAGAAACAGAATAAATGATGACATGAAGCATGAGAAAGTCCTCTAAATCTTCAACATCTGAGACGAAAAATAGCGGCAGACAGAAAAATCAATGTGTGGATTGATGAGGAGGCCGTAACCTTCCTCAAATTTATACTTGAAACAAACAAAAATACCATATTTACCTCTGCCAAGGAGGTTGTGTTTTCAGTTTGGTTTGTTTTGTCAGCAGGATTACGGAAATGTTTTCATGAAACTTGGTGGAAGGCTGTAGCATGCGGGCCAAAGAGGAACCCATTACATTTTTTGGAGAGGATTGGTCTTGGCGGAGGTCCGCACTCTCCGAGTGTCAATCTAGTTACATCATGTTTGCCACGTCATTTATGTTTGTTTGAGGTTTGACTGGTGCCCTTTTAATTAATAACATCATATTGTCCAAATTTGCACAAAATTTTGGATGTAAACACACTGTTTACCATGACACACATGTGCAACAATACATTGAGAATACATGTGTTTACCTTATGATGAGTATCCTTTAATGCTTCTTCCTCCCAGCCCTAATTCGTAAACGAGAAGATCCATATACTGTATCACCTCTTTATGCACTTTATTGTCGCACTTCTCTCGCCTTCCACTCAGACTCTGATTCTCCAAACTCTCAGCATGCCTCAGCCCTATCTGTCTCTAATTACCTCCTTAAAAATCCTCTCCTCTGTTCCAAACAGTTGGAAGAACAAGACCTTGATTCGCTGCTAATAATCCCAATGGGCCCAATTTAGCAGCTAATTTAGGCAAATGTTATCTAAAAGACTTTCAGAGGCACAGCTGGCTTCAACCAGGGTACCAATTTCAGGACTTGCTTGCAGTTGTAGAGGGGGTGCAAATTGTCCAGGGTGCCGAGGCTCTTCCTTGGGGGGCTGTCCACCTAATTACCCTAAATAGACCCATTATTTCCTGTAAAATTCCTTGTATTGTAAAATGAGTCTCTCTGGAAAAGTGCTTTTTACTGCAACATGCAAATGAAATATAAATCACTAACTACACACCATCTATACCATATGCATTATAAAGCAATACTTCTCAGTCGCATGACATTCACACCAGACCTGATCCACTGACGACCATTCCCAGTGGTTTTGTTTGGACCTGCTAGCTAATCAACAGGCCTATAAATGGATATTATAAATAACCTAAATGGACTTCCCATTTATGATATTCTTCACTGCCGACAGGATCAGATCTGCTGGATGTGATAATTAGATTGCTGAGTGATGTTGAGATTCGAGTGAATGAGAAAGAAAGACTGACCTCAGCGAGGAGCTCGGAGACTCTCTGTTTATTGTATTTGGGTCCCAGATGACACACTTTGATGTGTGGATGAGATTTATTTGGAGTGTGAAAGCAGCAGGAAAAAACGGCTCGGACAATAGTGTGTTCGTGTCCTGTGGGACAGTCAAGTCAACTCGTTAGATTTCATTTGTGGACGACACTTTATATGGAGGCTGTTCATTTCATTTCAAACCAAATAAGATATATTAAGTCCATATAAAAAAGGGGAAAGTGTCAGTATATTACACAAGTACGGGAGAGGCAAAATTGTCAAATAATACAATAACGATCATAAATTGGAAAAAGTTAAACCCAGAATTTGTCACAGAGGTTTAAACCTGCTTTTTGTCATTTGTCACATTCTCCAGTCACTGAAGTGTCTTCTGGAGGACCAACGGTTTAAAGCTCACGGAGTAATATTTGTTGTGTAGTTGGGAGACGTGTTGTGCTCTTACAATTTTAATTCTTGATTCCTATTTTCCTTTTGTAATTTTAGGCATTTTAAGCAACAAAGGCCTCATACCTGTCATGTATGTCCCGTGTTTCAGCTGTGCTATTTATTTTTTGTATCTTTGGACTACCTGACGATTTATTTCAACCTTCCTGTAAGATTTTCATATTGCTGGCTTTTCCTGCAGGTTCTGTGTTTAAGCTCACGACATTACAGCAATTACCTTCTAGTTCACTTACACACAAATGCCTAAAAATAACAGTAGAAAGAGATAATGAATAGCTATTTGATAACAGAGAATCATAGATCAAAGGGCAATTAGAATCAGGTTTAGGCTGAAAGCATGTGGGTGAGGAATTCGCCATCAATTAAGCTAATGGACGTTGTTCGTGATGATTTCAGATATGTGTTATGTGCTACAGACGGCCGCAGCAAAATCTTCCCTCTCTGCAAAGGTAGCTGTAGCGTAGCACAATACAGGAACGTTAGATGCAAGTAATGTTGCTAACATGGCTATGACTTGTCTTTGAGTTATATGAAAGATCTTTTCTCTCTTTAACAATAATAATGGGGTTCCTCTGAGCTCAGCTGGCACATAGACTCCCAAAGAGCTTTAATAACCATGTTCAAGCCGAAGGCAGCGGGGTTTGTATCATTATAATATAGTAACTTAAAGATATCGATCTGGTGAATTTTAAGTGGCCAAAGAATCATAAAGGTTTCATATCACAAACGTTATTATGCCCAGCTTTGATCAAAGGGTGACAGAGAAAGATAATGCTTGTACACACATCTTTACACCTTTGCATCATCTACAATGAGGTTTATTACAAAGCATAATGCTAATGTTGGTGACTGTATGTATCATTAACCTTTGATTCTATATGAAAATAATGATGTTTTTTAGCTTTAAATGGTAATTTCAGTCCTTCAGTTGATCCGGTCATATATATCTAATATATCAACAATTAATCTTTTTGTGAAACATCTTAACAACTTGTGGATAGATTGTATGTAATACATGTACAGACAGTCACTGTTTTTAGAGGATGAATCCCATGACCATTCCTCTAGCGCCACCATGATGTTGATTTGTGGTTTTGGGTTAAATAAAATATTGTCCGAAAGGATAAATTGTAATAACTTTCGGGTCAAAATGTTAATTTGTCCAACACCTTGGATTAAGACTCACTATGTCCAATACTTCTTTAATGTGGGGTGAACATTTAGGAGGTACAGTAACCAGTATAGGGTATTTCAAACTGTATTTTTCATTGTGCGCTTGTGGAGGTAGTAATGGCTTCTTTACAGTGCCACCAAGGGGAATCAAATTAGCTAATAATAAATCAGCACACCTGTAGTTCACTCTAATTGAGTTTTGCTTGCCTCTAATTGTAGTTTGTTTTTTTGCACGCTCACACAGCCTATTTTATATGTGTCTTTTTTCCGCGTTGCTGCAGGTGCAGACTCCCACAGTGATGTGAGCTCAGTGAGCGGCGGTGTGCCCTGGGACAGCAGAGAGACATCCCTGGCTGCTTCCACAGCCGCCTCCCTGGCTTCTTCCCTGCCTCTGAGGGACGTAATGGATGCAAATGAAGACATTAAGCATAGGGACAACAGCGAGAGAGGCTCAAACGAGTCCATGGGCAGCGGCTCGTCCTTTGAGGAGCTTGACATGGATCAGGAGGAGCAGGAGGCGGGAGAAGAGAGGGAGGAGAAGGGAGATGGAGAAGAGGCGGAGGTCCCCGAGGGTGAAGACGCAGCTAGAGAAGAGGTTGAACTGGTGGCCGAGAAGAAGGAGCCGGTGGAGGAGGATGAAGAGATAAGAGATGAGGCCATGTAACACTGGCATGCTAGAGAGTTTCTCAGTTGTCGCTGGTTATCTGTCATGTAATCTTGTTGGTGGATCTAAAGCTGTTCATGCCATGACCACCATGCCCTATTTCTGCGCCATCTAATTCTTTTTTGAAGCCTGTACTTTTTGTTATGGTGTCATTTTTTTTTTTTAAATCATGACCGATCCTATATTTAAACTCTGTCAAGATAGGACAACAGACTCTATCAGGATATGACAATTTGGTGAAGTCTTCTTGAGTAAACCTAATTTTCTCTGCACATGGTGTGCAGCAAATGAGAGGCAAGACTTGTTCAACTCTGTATTTCATTTCAAACTGTAATCCTGTGTGAATCGCTGCCATTCCTGTTCAGATCAGGGGTGATACTTCAGTTTAAAATGTACTTAAATAGATGGACAGCGATGCCTGGATCATAATATAGCATAATATAGCATAATCTTGCCCGTGTGTGAAAGTTGATATTGTACCCCACTTTCAAGGTCATGTTTGAGGATTTTATGTAACGTGTTGGTGTCTTGATATGCAGTAGTGATGGGGTGAGAATGTGCCGGAGCTAATGACGTAGACATTTTGATGGACCTATTAAGTGTGGTATATGTTTTTTTTCCAATTTGGACAATATATATCCCACAGGGGAAAACTCTGAGGGAGAAAAAGATTGCATCAACACCAGTAAAGTAACTTCACCGTAGCCTCCAATTCACCAGGAGTATAATTTCAAATGTAATTCAAAGGTGTAAACTTTTCTACTTGGATGCTGTAGTGTACAGACCTTTGTTGTCTCACTGTGCTCAGATAATTGCTTTAGTTTTTTAATGTAATGTTCTCCTCTATAGTCGGTTTGTTGAACCACTCCACAGTTCTGTTTGTAGCCAAAATTCACTCTCTTCCAGAGACTAGTTGTGATATGTTTGTAGGTTGAAATTGTTGGTGCCGTGAGACATTGCAAGTAATGTACAGCACATTGCCATGGCTGTGTCTTTCTGTCTGTATTAACATTTTCAAATGAAAAGTAAAGTTGACAGGAAGAAGTTGTGCTTAGATTTTGTTGCACACAGAAATCATAAAGACCTTATTCCATCCAGTTGTCTGTATTAAGACTGAGAATGTAGGCTATTTTTTTAACAAAGCCGCATCATTACTGCTCTACTCTGAGGACAATTCTCATCCATTTTTATTTGTCTGTATCTCAACCGAGAGAAGTTACAAAGTGTGGGTGGCAGTGGGACACATTGTTGTCTAAAAGCTAGCGCCTAATACCTTATCAAGCTCTCTCTTGTGCGCTAACTGCTTTCATGGTTTCACATTGTAATGACTGTCTCTTGCCGCTGCTGCTTTTTCAAAGGCAAGGACATGGAATTCAGAAGCTGAATAAAAGAAAAAAACTTTCAAGAAAGAGCCAATAATGATATAATTTATGTTTCAGTTCGGAAAATTCAGTAAAGCTATTTTAAGATTTTCTTGAGGGAGCAATTTCCTCTGGCACAATTAAAATATTGAATCAATGCGCACAAAATAAAACAAATATGGAAAGCACAAACACTCAAGACTATTACAAAATGTTCTCCTGAGCAGGACCTGCGTTATTCTAAGCAGCATTTGAATGAGGGGTTTGGCATTTGTGTCGCTTAATCAGCTGTGAGTACAGCAGCAGAGGAAGAATAGGCTCCAACACACTATTACTGTTTGATGGACACATATCCACACAGCCAGTGGTCCTTAATGAGCATCGTGACCTTTAAGTACAAATGTTTTCATTTACCCATAGTAGGAACAGTAACTTCACTGTATTACACCATCAACCATCAACTCAACCAGAGAGAGAAAAAATCCTTCTTGCTTCTGCTCGGGCCAACATAATGGTGGGTATGGGTTTATCACATAAATATCATATATTACAGATATATTAAATAATACATTTGAGGTCATTTACAAACTTAAGTTATTCTTACATAATTTGTCCACACGAGAGCAAGTTTAATTTATCACATGTAAAATGTGAAGCACATTACATATTATATGTTCATTTTATGTCCTTATTTTGAAAAATGGATATCGACCACTATACCTCATACTGTATGTTATTATTATAAGCTCTCAAATGTCTGTATGTTGCTCCAAAATTCGATATTGGGCTGACATTTGTAGACTTTTCCATGGTGCAGAAAAGAACACAATCCTCAATAGCACAAGATACACAGTAGGTGACAAATCAAAATACCGTTTGGAAGAACGCTGATTGTCCCTCCAGCAGAGTGCTTGCACCTTGGAGTGTAGGAGCCCCTTATTGAGACACTTCATGTTGTGTGCTTTAATTTGACCCTCCATCTTTACACTGTTCTGTTCTTGCAATATAGAAGTTGGCTATAGAACAAATCATTAGAAACTATACTACGGACATATTACCCTGATTGTTCAGACCATGGGAGAAGTCAAGTTATAAAATATCCCACCTGACAGTCTGTCTTGTGATTAGACTCTGAGATTGGTGGCTGTACTGCTGACAGAGGTGTGATCCATCTGCGGGGACAGATGCCCTCACCACATGCCTGTTGCACTTTCAGTTTTTAATCCTGCCACCACAACCTTTGTCCAAAGGCAAAAATGAACATCAGCCTGGAAGAGACTTGCGATGACACACTGGGTCAACAAATGATTTGATTAATTGTGAAACCCACAGGGGTGTCGTGCAGCTTTGATAGGGTAGACTATCGCCTTCCCATGGTGTTAATTATTAATCTCATTACATTGCACGTGGAAAGAGATTGTGGGGGCGGGGGGGGGGCTCAACCACTGCGTGTCTGAAGCTGCTTTCGCTAGAGGAAAGGGTCACAGCTCACCCTCTAAAAGTGCATGTCCCCCTGTGCGCATCGCGGTGCCATCTGGGACTGACCTCACACTCTTCCGTGCCGTGTCACAACTTGTTTGCGGCTCCCAAAGAAAATTCCCGCCGCTGAAGATGAGCGGTCTCTAAAGAATCGTTATTATAATATACTGTAGCCCCCTCCTGACCGATTGAACAAATAAAGGTAGCGACCCTTAAAGCGTCTCCGCATCCGATTCAACAGCTTACCAACTAGAACAAAGCGGCTGAAAGAAATCTTTTCCACCATGCTCTAAATTACATAATGTTCGTTTGCGATCTCCAGGACTGTTCATGCGTGGAGCAACCGCGCCTTTGTCCAGGTGTCCAAAGAGAGTTGAGGCTCTCCTTTGTTGATGGCTCATCTGAACAAGATCTTTTTTGAAAATATTGCCAGTTACTGAAGATTTTGCGTAGCCTGCTTGAGTAACAGGTAGAATTTTAACTTTGTGTCCGATTGACGGGTTTCTTGCGCGCCATAGCCGTTAATCTGTCATCCTATCAGGCTCATAAACGTCACATTTGTTTTTCTAGATTGGTCTTTATATTTATATTTCCCCACAGTTGATGCTCAAAAACGTGAACGCCTTTTTCCCCCCATCAGAATAGTGAAGTGGGCGTCAGTTGCATTTGCTGAGGAGATGTGAATTTTGAACCGCTGTCAGCAGGATCCGACCTCCAGGTATCCGGGCAGGCTCGTCGTTGTAGTTTCAGAGTGGGTTTTTTCAGAACCACGGACAGCTCCTCGCGGCTCAGCTGCACGCGGTTCAAACTTCAGGCAGCGACACACTCGCCTCGTTTATTCATTCACTCATTCTTCCAGCACCACTGTAGTTCACATCCACGTTGGTTTTAGGTTTAGAAAAGTCAACACTGCTGCAAAGGATATGCCTTGGGTTTGCACGCTCCATTCATCACACGGCAGCGCTGGAAACTGAGGAACCCTGCGGGTAAGATATTTGGTGTGTGTGTATGTGTGTGTGTGTTTTTTTTTTTTTTTGTATCGACTGATTTGTGCATTGGATGCCTGAAGGTACATTTTTTGTGAACTTCTGCGATATGGTTTTTAGAGAGGGAAATCTTTTAGTATTCAGGTTTGAATTTGTTGAGAAGTTGACCTCACCCTTGTAGTTTACATCCTTAAAGTATATTTGTGTAATCTAAAGACAAAGGGGATAGAGGAATATATGCGTTATTTGTCATTTCTGGCAATATTCGTTTTGTTTTTATTCACACTATTTACGATTTCTATATACCGTATAATGATCACATTTCACACAGCCATACTCGCTGAACAACACTCCACATGTGCGAGGCTGCTGACAAACTACTAAACAGGCTCTGCAGCACACGACAACCACCATATCTCCGATCTCGCTCATTTGACAAAACACTTTGTATGATAAAAAATTGCAAAATAGTATAAAACTAATTATCAAGTCAAAAACTTGATAATTAGTTTGTGAGGCGTTGTATAGAAGTAGGTGGTCTCCATAAACACGGTTCATCATTTGGTTCGGTTTCAATCTTAGGTGTCATTTCTTAATAGTTTGAGGATACCCAGAAAATGAATAATACTCTTTATCATTATTGTCTTTTTCATCCCGAAATAAAAATAATAATCGTTATTGATGGACCAACGTCAGTGCAGATTAGCATAATGCTGTTGTAAATTAGCATGAGAACAGTGAGATTTTGCACGTGTGGCTATAGATGGAGTGATTCTCTGTAATTCTTCGATTATAAATACATCAGGAGTTCAAAATACATTTTTACACACGAGGAATATAATTGAAAACCCCAAGGCGCAAATATTTAGAGGCTGTGTTGATAATGCTGGACAGAGTCATTATAAGGGAAGCACAATGTACTGTTGATGTTTCCTCCAGTCCCAGGGGCATCTGTGCTGCATGTTCAGCAGATAAAACACAATAGAAACCCCCTCAGAATGCAGTGTAATCAGTTCATCCAACACACAGTTAATTAATTAATTAACACAGAAAGAACGTCTTTGAATGACGGTATGAGTTTCTGATCATTTATTTTTTCAAGCCATAGAATTAAATTAACAGTGTATGTCCTCCTTCTATACACTGAGGACACATAATGTGTGAGCCCAGCGCTCACTGCTAAAGATGTTGATTACAGTTAATTATTCAGGTCATGTTGACTGTAGAAGACCATGCTGCAGCCATCATCTGAATTCAGAAATAATAAAAAGTAACAGGAGGAGGTGAGGCTGTCTGACCTTTACTCCCTCCGCAGCTCGGTCCTGATTGCGGTCTGCCTCACCTGTTTGTTTTGAGTTGATGCCAAGGGGACTCGTTGACAGTGTAACATGTGGACGGGGGAGCCGTGTTAATTACTTTGTGTGATGAACGACCAGAGCTAGGTAGCAGCATGTTTAGAGTTCTGGAACAAGCAATGCAAAAGTGCACTCATTATCTGCAAAGAAAAACCAAAGCAGGAAATGCTTTTTCTCAGATATGCTCAATTTTAGCTTGAACTTGAATGCCTGATCTTTCTAGTACAGGCAAGACAAGTCTGTTTCTACAGCAAGCCAAGCAACTAGTTGTGTGGGTTGTTTTAGCTACGTGTGATTAAATATGTCCTATCAAAAAGGACAGCCTAGTCACTTCCTCTTCCTTATTGTCATGTACTTTCTCACACACATGTGCAGGTACGATACATTGGTTGGAAGTTGGATGTCTTCTAGGATCACATCACATAAAGCTTGGTCTTTATACTGTACACCTGATGCCTATAGCATCTGTTAAATTAAATATTTATTGTCCCTCTGCACCACTATACATGTAAGTATTTATGTACTGATTTGTATTATATGAACTGATAGTAAATCTGCACTAGCGTGCATATGATAAGTTGTGTGGCTGTTATGTGAAATGACAGAAAAAGAGTACTGGCGCTTTAGATGCACAGAATGAATGAATGAAATGTTTTCAATGTGTATGCATTTCAGGGTTTCTTTCCCCCATGCATTTAATTCGAGATCAAACATACTCATTCAATGAGTCTGTAAAGTCCACTTACCATTCATTGATGATGCAGCCCTGATAAAATCATGGTTAAATCATACATTAAACTGAGAAAAAAACACTGAACATCCAATAGTTTCCTAACCAAGTCGAAAGAGTTAAGCATCGAGTTACTCAAGTGAAAGCACAGAGAAGCTTCCAATTAATAAATGATGTGCGTATTACTCTCAGATCAAAATTAACTGCTGCACTGACTGCAAATGACTAATTCCTATTTTACATTATTTGTGTATGTGTAAGATGTTATAGGTGAGTCTGCATCAATAATCTTAATTGTGAGTAATAATCAACCGTTGTTGATTTTTCTGCTTGCACCTCTTACTGAAATAAATACTGACTTCAGTAATACTAGCGGGATTAGTGGCACTCGAGAGAGTGTAATCAAAATGACTCAAGACGATGAACAGAGCTTTTTCATATATGAGGATTAACAACAGATATGTGGTTTTAAACTCTGTCCAATAAATGTCCACATCTAACACGACCTAGCACTAAATGTCCAGAGGAATTTGCCATTCATTTTAAAATATTTGGGCACAAAGATAAACATTATATACTGGTTGCCCCTATCCTTGATATATTTCTGACAGGTGTATAGCTGTCAAGTTATTGGAGCTCAACATAGACAGTATATAAGAAGTAGATGTACTCAACGTGATGTCACCCATTGGTTTGTGGACTAAAGTTTTTAAGCCTTGAATTTGGCATCTATGCCCTCTCAATGTTGGTATTTGGCTTTCGCCATCTTGTTTTTTTTTGCAACCAGAAATGACACAAGAGAGTGGAGCTAAGTACAACAGAAGGCCAAAATGTTACAATTAACTGGAAACACACTGAAAGGGTTGAAGTTGTAAGATGAAAAACATGGACAACTCCCAGATCCGACAACACCGTGGTAGCAACCTGTCAAACACAAAGTAGCCCCGCCCTAAAGCCTGCCCTGCTTTATCATCTATTTGACTCTAAATGGGACCATCATTTACTAAATGAACACCACGCTGTGTTGAAAAAGACTTGAAACTAGCGATTGAGACAATAAACTCATGTTAACAATGTTTACTGAAGTAGTAAATCAAATGAGAAGAAGGGTCATTTTTTCAGATTGACTTCAATACAATCATACTTCATTTTGCAACCAGAGGAGTCGCCTCCTGATGGCTATTAGAAAAATTGCAAGTTGAGGCACTTCCACATTGGCTTCACTTTTCAGACCTGGAGGTTAGAGGCCAACCTCTTGTGTCGTGGCAACTGATCGTCTGTTTGAGAAAGCATTTAAACTGTTCTAAAATGATCAGCTGTTGATCAGTGTTTTCAGACCCAATGTTGATGCATTAAAGCAGTGGTTCCCAAGCCTTTTTATTTTTGTACTTGTGATGCCTTGAAGGTCTAAATTTCAAAATTCAGAGCATATCTATTGACTTCACACGGCTCTTAACATGGTAACAGTGCTAACAGCTCTAACCATAAAAACGACAGTAACAGTGCTGACAGAGCTAACAGCGTTTAACTGATGGGGAACCGGAGGGTGGCCGCTAGAACATTCGCGATGATGGCGTCGGTCAGAGCAACGTTATCAGGTGTATTCGCCATGCAGTGCAGAGCGGTGACCATGAGCTAAAACACAGGGAAGCTCGGATAACAACACACACAGAGGGACTAACACACAGACTTCATTCTTTGTTCAGGTAGCCAATACTATTACAAATAGTTGTTTGATGCTTTATTAATGCTCTGACCATCGTATAGAGAACCTTTAAAGGAAACACTTTAGTTTGCAAGAGTCTCTAAATTGAATTAACAGAATATTTGTGTCACAAGTTCCCAAATTAATTTTTTGTGTTTGTGGACAGCTGAATCAAAATGAGATAATATTAGAAGAAAAGAGCGAAGGGAATACAGAGATTCTCTGAAATGAATTTGGAAATACCACTGTGTAGTTTTGCATGGTGGTGTTCACCCAAACATGTCACGACTCAGTCTGAATGCAACGAAGTTTTCATTTTGATAAGGCAAGAACTAATTTCAGAGAAACTGGCGCATTTAAAACAGATCCGTACTGTTCTTGGATATTGTATTATTAGTGATATAATTGATGTGATTTAAAAACACAGAAAAACTAAATGTGAGCTCTAATCTTGATAACTTTAAATCGCTCACTGATGTCTATTGTCACTCCAGGAACAGCACTTCTAATGATTTCCCCCCCAAAAAACTGGTGTTTCAGGCCTTTTAACAGTGCGGTGGTGCGATGATGAATAATGCAAAGATAAAATAAAAACGTCTAAAACAAAAGTACTATATACATCCATCACTGCGTTGCAGCCAATCACAGGCCTGGCAGTAATGATCTGCGAGAAACAAAGAGAGAGGATGAATGTTTGATGAGGGAGGCAGAATGGGGCTCCTGGGAGGTGAAGGAACCGTTGAGCACATGCAAGGATTTCCCCTTTACAGGTAAAGGGACAGGAGGCGATGGATGAGGGGATGCAAGCATAAAATGAGATGGATTGTGTGATAAGGAACTGAATATGAGGTTTGTTTTCCGTTTACTGACTGTCACAGCTGATACGACCGTAAACACTTACAGTGATGCAGCGAGCCTCCCAACTGATCCCTGTCTGCTTAATTGCTGCTTTGCAAAAATACTGGGAAATTTGCTCTTCCAATATTTAAACCTCAAAGATCTCCTCGCTCTTTAATTGCTCCATGTATAAATAACCTTATCAGAAAAGGTCAGCAGTTGTATTTTTAGGAGACATTTCATTGTTTTAGTGATGTAACCAGTCAATATTTTTTTCAACATTAACTGGACTGGATTTAAATACTTGTAGTAGTCAGAGATGATCCATGTAAGCTTTCCTGTAAATATCTTATCTGCCATCACTATATTCCAA